TAATCTCGTACATCAAAACTAATAAAAATCGCCCGGCAATGTAAGCCACCTTAAAAATAAAAAAAAAAAAAAAAAAAAAAAGTAATATTAAGTAATAATATGTAACTGACTTTGCCTATCTCTAATTAAAACAACTTAAAAATCTCAAAATTCATTAAAAAGCGTTTTTTTGCCATCCCTAGAGAAGGAAATTAATAAACTCAGTTGATCCCTAATATGAAAATACAATTTAACCATATGACAAGTCTCTAATGGATATAAGTGTCCCAGAGAAAATGAGACTTCGGACTTAAAAATTTATTTCTTGTCGGACTTGATTTACTGTAAAATCTAATATGCTTTTAGTCCGGTAAATTATAACTTTAAAAGTCTCATTTTCTCTTGACATCAATCATATGATAGAAGTGCTTTCAAAGAAAAATAGCATTTTGCGTTTTTAATTATATTTTGTATCAGACACAGTCCTTAATAAATTAGATAGATTGTGTCTGGTATAAAATATAATTGAAAGCCCGAAGTGCTATTTTTTCTTGGCAGCACTCATATCTGATTAAATTTGTTAGAAACAAGTAATATCTGAAAATAAAGTTGCTAGGAAGTTTTATTATTATAAAATATTTCTTATTAATAACGATAATATCCGGGTATTAAATTAGATATTAGATATACAGTACTGTATATCGGTAGTTTTAATATAATGTCAAAATCTGATTGGCTGATTATAGTAAACGTTTTATATGAAAATGCACTCGATCATATGAAAATCATTAACGAATCTGATTATATCTGATATCAGATTAAATTTTCCAGAAGCAAGTGATACTAACGAAGAATATTACTTTAAAGTTTCGTCAACTGTTAATTAGATAAATTTATTACTTTTAAATAGCAAGTAATAAATTTATCTAATTAATAGTTAAAGGAATATTCTTCGTTAGTATTACTTGCTTCTGGCAAATTTAATCTGATATAATCAGATTCGTTAATGATTTTTCATATGATCGAGTGCATTTTCATATAGAACGTTTACTATAATCAGCCAATCAGATTTTAAGGATCGAAAACCAATCAGATGGATATTTAATCATGCTGGCTTTGTCGCTTTCTTGGCGTTTGGTTACATATTCTATAGTAGCTGAATCTTAACGGGTTTAAGGATCTCGCTTGCTAAGAACCAGAGATTTACTTGATAAAGTTTGGATCATTTTAATAATTCTGGGTCGAGTAGGCATATAAATAAACAGAGTTCATAGAAAATTAGCTCTCACCTTCTCACGAATTTTTAAAGGTATATGTTATCGGACTATGTCCATGTATTAATTATAAAGGCTTTAGCGAGCAAGAGCGAAATTGTAACCACTATGAGTTTTACATATAGGAATACGAAATGCCTGATATCAACCTTAAATTTATTATTCGAAGTGATGAAATCGATGGTATTTTCACTCTATCTGTCGATAATGGGAAGTCGGTCGAGTTTCTCAAAAATAAAATTCGAACTAATCAACGTAACTTGAACGAATTCGATCTTTATTGGAAGAATTTCTCTCAATCAAGTAATGCTTTAGTTGGTACATTAAAAAATCCTATCACACTCAATAAGAAACAAGGAGAACTTATGAATCCGAATTTCTGAGTATTTTACTGTCTTAGACATCGACGCTCAGAAAAAATCTCTCTTGTTTTCCAGAAGATAGTGAAATAGGTCCTATAAAAGTTATTATCTACCCCTCTACCGAATAATTAGATTTTTTTATCCATTAAATGTACAAGTACCTAATTAGATATTTTTATAATAATAGCAATAAAATTTATATTAGTTCATATATAAACTAGAGCTCAATTTTTTGAGTTATATACTTACCATTAAAGTATAATATCCAGATACGTCCAAGCCAACCTAGAATTAAACACACAAGAATAACGATCACCACTGAAATCCAAAAAATTCAGAGTATCCAGGGAGATAATTCCTTCATATCTTGATGTGTTCGTGTTACTTCTTGTTTAATGCTCTTTGTACGATCTTCTTGACGATAAGCCAATTTCAATGATTCTTCCATAATTTTCTGAAGAGATTCCTCATTAATGGCGTACGGATTCCAAGGGAGGTTTAAAAGAACTTGTTCCAAATTCCAAATGGAAGTCAAAAGGATGAGGATATTGGAACCTTTCGCCCAAAGTCGGGCTCTTTCTGCATACCCATCCAAAAGCGAAGTAACAAATATGCCGATCATATGTTTATCTGGGAATCTACAAAAGTTCGGCTGGATTAATATAATAATAATAATAATAATAATAATAATGAACAGAAAATATTTACTTGTTCAAAACGCCAATAAGCTCCGCAACATATCGTCTTCCAATTCGATCACTAGTATAATTTTTGCATTGGCACACCAATATATATTTTTTATAGGGCCCAAATACGTCAATACCGTTATCTCCGGGATAACGTCTATTTAAAATAAAGTAATACTAAGTAATTGCCAATATTATAAAGACTAAAAACTGAGTAGTCAGTTCAGCATTTAATCTATATCCTTTATTCATCACAGCCCTATCGGAACCTTTCGTAAAATAGAATACTATAAAAGGACGTTCACCCTGGTCCTGACTAGGGACTTCTATGATGGCCCGATGTACTTCCAGTTCTATAGTATTCTACTAACTAGTGACAGCGTAACTTCAAGGATATATAACTAACAAAATACTTAGTGAGAATACTCACCCACTATGGTTAGCCGGAACACCTAGTCTTGTCAACACTAGGATCACGTCCATCTCATGATCACGACCACGCACGACAGTTGATTCATCGATATTTGACATTGTTACAAGATAGAGAAGAGATTTGGATAACGGAAAAACTTGAAAAAAGAACTTTTAAATACATATTTTTTGCACCCAAAAGTAAACAAATAAAAAAAATAAAAAAAGACGCGAATATGAACGGTATCGATCAAGCATGACAGAAATTGGTTTTTAT